ATTAGAACAGGAATTAATAAAATGAAAGGAATCTCACCTTCAGAATATCTCTAGGATAATATTTTTCAGGTAAAACCCCCAAGTCCTGTTTTGGATAATGATGAACCTAAATGTCTGATTGGAAAAGAAAAATTTTACTAGAGACCTACCTATTCAAGAATTTAATTCCTGCCCAGTTGGAATACTGCCAACATTTTTCTGTTCTTAATAGAAATCTGCCTGCTGTTTAAATAAGAGCATTTTTTTAAAGAAAAAAAGAGGGTTGTTTTGGTGTTGTTAACATTCCAGATAAGATTGAAAAGTTGGGCTTTTTGGGGTGTATTCCACTAAATTTAGAGTAGATATTATACATGATAGTAATAGAGATGCGCGCCTGGGATACAGTCCTAGGAAAAGAGCTTTCATTTTCCAGTGATGAATTTCAAGTAGAAGATCTTACTAGCCACTCTTTAAGATCTATCCCAACCATGATATTCCATGATTCTTTGGATTCTCAAAGTAGTATATACCCATTGTCAGAGGCAAGGGCTGGTTAGCAGAGTAAGAGAAAACAAAGACAGTCACTTTCATTCTGCATCTAAAATATTCTTCAACGACTCTATTTCTGATCCTAATGAGAAACTACCATTAAAAATATTTGGCATCTTCATACTCCACCACCACACCCAAATAGCATAAGGTAAGCAAACCTACATGTCAATGTTTCCATTTACCTACTAACTGAGGAGAGAAGATTGCGGGGTAGAGACTTTAGGACAAAGCTGCTGCCCAGTGGCACCTGCTTTGGTCATGCATTGACATTACCTCTAATTACATTATCCCTAATTACATTATCCCTAATTACATTATCCCTAATTACACAGCTGGTGGCACAGTGGTTAAGAGCTTGGCTGCTAACCAAAAGGTTGGCAGTTGAATCCACGAGCCACTCCCTGGAAACCGTATGGGGCAGTTCTACTCTGTCCTATAGGGTTGCTATGAGTTGGACTCACTCAACAACAATGGGTTTGGTTGCTTTTTCTTTTTCTTTAACATATATATCAGCTGTGTCCTTATATTCATCATGGAGCAATGCTCATTGCCCAAAAGATGTGATGAGTTCTATTATGAGTACATACCCCCAAATGAAGAAACTCTGGACCAGTCCAGCTTTCTTTGTTATTTGCTACTTTCCCCTATAACCACGTTAACAAAAAATAATAATTTCCTTGGAAGGCAATGCTTCTGCCAAAATTAAATGCTTCAGAAACATGTACAATGCAATCCAGTGGCTCCACCTCACTCAGCCCTGAAGATTCCCAGGCTCAAGGCCATTGGTCATGTGGGGTTGTAACCAGGCAGTGCTGTAGCCACAGATTCCCCATCCTTCTGATCTAGTTCTCTTGCTACAGAAT